ATTTACATATTAAAAAAAAAAAAAAACCCGCCTCCCTCATCACTTTCTTTAGATGACAAGGATGATAAACTAACATTTTTTTTTATGGGGCCTTACGTGGTTAAAAATAGTACCACAGTAGGCTACTGCCGGAACGTACCCTGAGTACGGTCCGGTATACCGGAACGTACCCTGGTAACTATCTAGCTGATATGGTTAGGGTTAGGGTTAGGGTTAGTGAGTACTAGTAGTAGTAGGCGTAAGCGACTCCCTAGACTCGTTAACTGAGTAGGAGAGGTACGGTCCGGCATATAAGATAGTACTAGTAGTATTTAGTACCAGGGGTACGTTCCGGTATACCGGACCGTAACCAGGGTACGTTCCGGCAGTACCCTGGGCCGGGGGACATAGACCCTCTCAGCCACAGCCACAGCCACAGCCACAGGTAAACATCAACGAAATCAAAAGTAGCCTGGCAAAATGCCAGAGCATTTTTTATGACCGATTGCGCATACCTGCAAAACATCGTCTTATGCTTTTGTTTTTCAGGTAATCGGCAAATTCTTCCGGGGATAGGCCCAGGAGCCGTGTAGACTTTGTGTTCTGTGAGTAGGAACGAGCGCTAACATGGTAAATGTTTGAAGGACACGTGGGTAGTGAAAGTAGGCCTACATCATGTTGTTGACTACGACGACCGACAACAACACCGTCAGCAGCTACCGACAATCCTACGTTTTCTCTCGATGCGAACGCTCCAGTGACCCTACCGCAGATTCTCCCGCCTTGCAATTTAGAAAACACTCTATACATCGATCTTACTCGTAATAGCTAACACGAGACGTACGATGCTACACTAGTATTTTTGCGACGAAGACAGGAGTGAAGCGAAGACAAGAAGTTTGTGTTGACGTTGGGTTCTCGCCACCGGAAACACTCGCCTATTTACTACGCCATCGGCTGCGCATCACGATGGAAAAATAGTAGGAACTTTACCTGAATAACTAACAAACTGGTTGGTTATTCGATAGTAATAAACAGGTAACGCTATGCGCGGTATTTGTTTTAGATAAGACGTGCAATACCGGTAATATATACTGCGTTATATTATGTCGTCATACTACGTCATTGACATGATAAGTGACCATGATATGACTGCGCCGGGTCTGTGACGTATATCCGGTTGTGAGAATATAATTATTGGAGCTGAGACAAGTCAAATACAGCTCTTTGAATATTGGAGTAGTATAGCCTATGGATTGCTGCCGTGAAAACTGTAGCACGGGGGGTCTACATCGTATGCACAAAATAAAAGCGTTGAATAGCGATGTTTCATGTTTATAAACCATGACTCATATGCGCACATGCGCAGCTATTAACGGTTGCGCCAGCAAGCAGATGCGTATTATTGTTCGATACAAGCACACGCACGCACGCACGCACGCACGCACGCACGTGTACGTACACACGCACGCACGTGTACGTACACACGCACGCACGCACGCACGCACACACTCATGCACGCACGTGTACGTGCGCACGCACGCACGCACGCATGCACGCACGAGTACGTTCACACGCACGCACGCACGCACGCACGCACGTCTACGTACGAACACTCGATCAATGGTTAGGTTTAATGTAAATGCAACCGCTTTTAGTGTTAATTATTTTACCAATAAATATGCAATAAAAATAAATATATATACATTTGCAATACTCGTTTTATTTCGTTTACTTTGCAGTATCAAACAGAAATGGATGAATTTTAAGCACCCACTATCTATCTATCTATCTATCTATCTATGTATACATTACAATATATCTATCTTGCTATCTATCTATTTACCTGGCTATCTATCTATCTATCTATCTATCTCCTGCTATATATATATCTACCGTGTGCGCAACACAAGGCACGGAGCTTATCTATTATCTATTTATCTATATCCAGCTAAGATGTATTAATGTTAACATACATCAGTATATATCACGAAATAATGCTAAATTTGAGATTGTTAATGTAAATGATTTCCCAGCGTGTGCTAGCTTTCTCCAATAATAGCATAAACATTTTTGACGGCGTGAAACTGGGGACTTTCAGCTCACGTGGTCATAGAAATTATTTAGCATGTATCTATCTATACATCTTGCCAGGATTGTAAAGTCCACACACAGACAGATACAGACACGCGGGCGCGCGGGCGGGCGCACATATATACTTACACACACGCGCGCACCTTAAATTTTGCCTACCTATTATCTATCTATCTATATTCAGCTAAGATGTATTAATGTTCGCATACATTAGTATATATAGATAAATAATGCTAGATTTGAGATTTTTAATATATAATAATAGAGTAAACATTTTCAACGTCGTGAAACTACGCAGTTAGCATTTCTCTAGGTAGCGGACTGCTTCGATCACTGCCAGCCTGATTGGATATCTGGCTTCCTGCCCGCCTGCTTTCATACCCCTACCTGCCTGCCTGCCTGCCTGCCTGCCTTCATACCCCTACCTGCCTGCCTGCCTGCCTGCCTGCCTTCATACCCCTACCTGCC